GTCCATAGGCGTCCACGAAAATTTTTTTGGTGGCAGGCAACCCGAAAAGCGCCGTCCTTAACGTGTTAATGTTCATTAGGTAATGCGTCTGGGATCGATCACATCACCGTAACGAAATTAATTGCAATTAAGCAGCAGTCGGTGGCGAGATGTCGGTGGCGACGAGTCTTCGGCCCTTCCTCAATTGGGGTAACGTCTTCACCTTGTTTCCCAGATACAATCGCGAAACGATGCAATTCAAAGCAACCCCGATTCGTGGTCTCTTCAATTTCATATTCCTCCAATGGACGTTCGTCTACTGTCTATACAATAGACTCGAAACGCATTTCATGATTTTTACCAGACTGCAAGAAGTGATTGTAGTAATAACCACGAGCTGTCTTCAGCTACTAGTCTCGTTGACTATACTCGGATCGTTCAGATGGAACGTGTCGAGGATGCAGAAAATCTTCGACACCTTCAACTCGATCGACGCAATTTTGTCGACGCAAAACATCAGCAATGACGGCAGATTGAAGCGAACCAATTTCTTTCTTCTATGGATGCATCTGGTCTTCTTCGGAATGTGCACTGTGGATGTGATCATCTGGAGCAGAAATTTGCCGGTCTACAAATATCATTACATGATGTACGATCAGATCACCATGTATCTGGTATTCGGGACGATCATCTTCGAGGTGCTTCTTCTTCGGCACATCCGGTGGAGATTCGAGTCCGTGAATCTGGTTCTGAACAAACCCAACTGCTACGCGCCTTATTATGGAGTGTTGGTGGACCTGCACTCCAAGTGCTGCGATCTCGTGGACATATTCAACGACATGCAGGGTTGGAACATCTTTTTCACTATAATTCATCTGATCATGAACATGTTGATCTGCATACAAGTCATCCTCATGAAGGACATCGTTTGGAACGCATCCACAATTACACAGATGTTCCTTTGGAGCTTATACATGGCTGTAAGTTAATAAACATCTTAATGGAATCAATGAATTTCTTTCTTTAATCATTTCCCGGTCGGTATTTACGTATATTATTCGGCGTTGTATGCAACCAATGAGGCGCGCAATTAAATTTCCCGTGCTAATACATAATTTAATAACATAATGTACGAGTGGCGCCATGCGATATATATATGTAAAAGAAGACAAATATGTAAATACCATTAGATTACAACACCAACTACTTGACGCTACACGTGCAGAACGTAAATTACAATTTTATAAATAGGCGCGACCGAGAGTCGCGTTTTATATTGCGCGAAGTTACTTTGCAGTTAAACGCGTCGGCGAAATGACCGTAGCCGAAGACATGGGATTCCTGATGACCTGGGGCAACTGGATGTGCATGTGGCCGAAACGCGAGGAGGGCGTCTTCAGAGCGACAACCTGGAGGAGCTACTTCAGCATTGTTATAATACTGTTGGCGTTCGTGTACTCCGTGTTCGGAAGATTGACAGAGGATTATTATGCTAGCAGAAAGATGTTCATAAAAATCGGGATGATCAGCACTTCAGTATTGACCATCTGCAATGTGGATGCCATCGTCGGATCGTTCACCTGGAAAGTGCAGCGAGTGCAGAAGCTTTTCGACGATTTCCAAGAGTTGGACGGATTTCTCGCCGTGCAAGGATTCAGCTTCGAGAAGAAGTCGTTGAGGTTGACGATAGTCTTCGCTCTGGTGAACGTCTACGTCGTGTCGATGCTTATTTTCGAGGTGATTTGGTGGGAGGACGAGATCTATTACTTCCAATTCGTGCTGCTGGACAGGTTGATGGTGTACGGTGTTTTCGTGGTGAACGCTTTGGATGCGAACGTCCTGCGGCACCTCAGATCTCGAGTCTATAAATAAGATGATTGAAAAGACAGATGACGAGCGAGACGTCGAAGCCATCGCCAAATTTCACGCTCTGTTTCTCGACTTAATTGAAACGTTTAACTGCATACAAGGCTGGCATTTCTTTTACACGATGATCATCTGCATCCTATTCACTTTGATCATCGTACAGGATATGCTAGAGCCGGACTTCGTTTGGGACACGCAGGTTTTCCTTCTCTACATCTCCTGGTTTGCATTTGTTTACGTAAGTAATTACACTAAGTAATCTAATAACTTCTTGGAATATTAGAGCAATTCTTGATATTACCAATCCTGAAAAGTGCTCAAGTTTGGTAACATTTACACTTCACTTCTTCTCAGGACTCATTTTGCCCATTCTTAATTACAATTGCTACAACTATTGCGATTGGATGCATTTTGAAAAGTATACGCGCGTCCTTAACGGAAAACTACATATGCATTATTTGATTGATAATTAAGTAGATTAATTGTATACCAAATGTCTGGTGGGAAGCGCATTGTTAATGTAATATCCTAATTTGAAAATCAATTATGTTAACAAGTGATGCAAATGAATAAAATAGGTAATTAACTTAAAAGCCTCTATCTATGCAAATGGAATTTATCTTACTTTTGCTCTAAGATACGATAAATTCATACCAACGTGCAGATAGGCTTCTACTGTTCCTTTGAAATGCAACCGCAATCACGCTGATGATCTGCTAGACCAGCGTTTTCCAAACTGTGAGGCGCGCCTCACGCGAAATGCTCGAAAAAGTTGGATTCATTCTATGTATTATAGTTTTCGAGAAAATCAATGAAATGTAAAAACACTGCTTTTTCGAGCATTTTTTTTAAACTTTGAACACGAATTACAGCCAAACGGCTAAAACCACAGTAATATATCGATATTTTCTAGATTCCCCAAACATTCAGCTTTCATATGCATCTCTTGGATTCATTCTATGTATTATAGTTTTCGAGAAAATCAATGAAATGTAAAAACACTG